GTGTGTGTGTGTGTGTGTGTGTGTGTGTGTGTGTGTGTGTGTGTGTGTGTGTGTGTGTGTGTGAGACTGCATCATGGAGACCATTTTTCAGACTCTTGTAGGGACCCAGCCCTCCATGGGCACCAAAGCCTATAGTCACTAGTGYTGGGCGGTATACCAGTTCGTACCAAATACCGTTTTTAATTTTTGTTATGATATGAATTTTCTGAATACCGACATACCGGTTTAAATAGCCCGAACACGTGCGGAATGTTTTGTCGCGGCCGCCAGTGAACTGTTTCCCGGGGGACATTTTTCTTCGCTGCACCGCTATGTGCGTTAGCATGCTAATGTTATTGTTGAGCAGTTTATTGTAGCGGCGGGTGGCAATTCCGCTACTTATATAGGCTGACGTTAAAAAACATCCTGTTTTTGCCGTCACTGAATGCAATAAACACCTCTTCAGTGATGTGCATGGTTTGATTAAACACTCGACTTTAATATGGAGACGTGGAGACGCATGGAGACTTTAGTGTGCTTCTATTGTGAAAAGCCGGGGGGAAGAAGTTTAGTGGTGTGCGAGGTGAGTTTTGCTGTTAATCCTTATTAAATAACATAAAACAATAAACCCAATAATAATCTTTTCTTTAACCCTCCTCCTTCACGACCGGACCAAAATGCATTACTACTGTCTCCAACCAGGAGGAGAAGAAAAGACATTTAGAGGAGGGAAACAGTGACACAGACAGAGGTACAGTAAAAGAAAAAATATAATAAGTAGTGTTTGTACATTTTATTATCAGCTGAGCTGTGATGAAAAGAAAAATACTGTGATATACCGTGAAACCGGTGTAAATGTTGAAAATACCGTGAAATGAAATTTTGGTCATACCGCCCAGCTCTACTAGTCACAATGGGTACTGATGCTGTTTTTGGGTCGGGGTTAGGGTTAGGACTATTTGTGCTGAGGTGGTTAGGTTCAGGGTAAGGGTCAGGGTTAGGCTATATAAATGACTGAATAATAAGTAGAAGTCAATCCAAAGTCCCCACGAGGATAGAGAAACAAAGTGGATATGTGTGTGTGTGTGAAATTTGACCCTCCCTGAATGTATCAGAGTCACATGAATGTTTACGTCTCACACAGATAAAGATAAAGAGCACTACAAGGTCAAAAGCTGCTCACTGATATCACACTTTTCTTTTTTTATTCTCAACCACTGAACTCAAACTAAAGAGTTTCAGGGAAAAAAAATCCAGCTGCATCTAAAAAACTCCAACAAAAACTTGTAAAAATATGAGCTCAGGGGGAATAATTTCTATTTTGGTGTATGAAGTGAAGAAAATGAGCGGCAGACAGAAACAGACTGAAAAATAAGCCTCAAACAAACAGTTGATGTTAATTAACTATCAATAAAATGAAGCTTAGATATTATTGATCTGTGGAGCCACATATGAATTTTAATGTTTTTAGTGTTTTTTGTAGGAAATTAAAGAAACTGACATTAACATGTTTAATAATTTACATTTTTTTTAGAAGGCAGCGCTCCTTATCTCATTAAACGTGATTGTGACATTATAATGAAGTCAGGCAGATAATATTGAACTGTTACTTTATTTTGAAAGCCTTGACCCAAATTTACTGACATACTGTAAAGGTAAAACTGCAGTTTAGAAACTGGTCACATCTTTTTATGAGAAAGCTGATTTGCACTCTGTTTTTTTTTTWAATTCTGTAATTATTTTACTACTAGAACTACTTCTGCGTACTTCTGAGACTTTTGGATTTTTTTTACTTTTATGTTTTTCAGAATATTTATCATTATTTATTCATATTTCTCCATTGAAATACATTGAGTACTGTAGCTACTTTAGCTTTCAGCGATTTTGCCTTTTTTTACCTAGCACTCTGCTGTTTTTAGCTGTTAGCTAATCTCCACCTCCTGATCCCTGAAGCCTCCACTTTAACCACAAATGCAGTTTTATTGGAATCCTTCTAATTAGGTGTGGCTTCTTTAATTTGCCAGGTGATTAAACCTGTTTGTCTGAATGAATAACCCAGACTGAACTTTTGTTTTGTGGTAATAAAGGAGAACTGCTCGTCTCCACCTTTTTTGCAGAGGTGAAGTGAATCCTTACAGTYGGACATGAGGCAACCAGTGAACTCAGGAACAGTTCAACAGTTTATTCTGCCCATTCTGATTTGCAATCTATTTGTAGTGTTGCAATATCAACACAGGAGCAATATTCTATTATATGAATTTGGATGAGTCAGTGTAGAGGGTGCCCTCTACTGGTCTAAGTCAGCTTTGGTCTAGTCTTTTAGGTCCTATATATCAGAGGAGCCCAAAGTGGGGCCTGCGGGCCAAATTTGGCCCGCCAAGCCATTTGATTTGGCCCACCAACAGTTGCCAAAGTTACAAGGTTGTAACCTATTATCCTATGTATATACACAGTATTTCCATTGGTCAAATGACTATATAAAAGGGCTGTATACAGCCCTTTTATATAAAAGATAGTGAAGGTAGTTTTCATTCATTGTGCTGACTTTATCTTTGAATTTTTTAGGATTAAACATGAGACATGAAATGACAAGAAATATTTAGATCAGATTTAACCCCACATGTAGATTTGCACACTTTATAAGACCACAAAAACTCATATTTTATCGATTTATGAAATGTCCCATGAGCCTTTCCTACTTGAGCATATGGCAGACTTTCTCCAAGTGCACAGACTAAAACAAAAGAGGTCCATTGCATAGCTTAATCGTTAAAAATAAGGGACTTTACTTTAAAAAGTATTTGTATTTCATGTATTATATTACTGTATTTGGCCCGCTGCCCTGGATAGATTTTCATTTTGGCCCCCTCAGGGAAAAGGTTTGGGCACCCCTGCTATATATAGTAGCTGTGTTCTTTGGTAATGATTGTGATCATTGCAGAATAACGGATCAATGGTATATCACAGATTTACCACGAGTCAGGGTGTAAACAGGAGTGAAGGTCGGAAAATAATGTTTTTTTTTCAAGCTCAGAGTTTACCATCAGGCGAACAGAAACACACGTGTCCATGTCTTACCAATCAAGCTGAGAGCTCACCACCTGCTGCCGTAACCTTTACCTGCCCATCTCTAATCCCTCAATCAGTCCCGTCTCTGTTCACCTCCTCCCTCTCCATCCCCAACCACCTTGTCAGAACYAAATGAGGTCAGCCTCATTTAGCCGTTACAAGGAAAGTTGGGCTTTTTTTTGACACAGACTGGCTTGTGAAGCCCATATGACGTGGTCTAAATCAATGATTATAATTTTAAAAAGCGAAAATGTTTTCTATATCATAAACAAAATATCCATTCAACCAAATCCCACTATAAAGACCTTTCTATAACATCTTTTCTGGTCTTGCCCTGTCTGACCTTTTGTTTTACTATTGGTCTTCTGATTCACCTGAAATTATGGCCTCTCTTTCTTCTTCACCTGCCTCGTATATCTCATCACAGTGTTCGAAACAACTATTTACTTCGTCCACACTCAGTATTTAAACACTGGGACATCTCTAACTGAACATATTTAACTAATGCCTTTTTTATCATAGGTGCAACAATGTCTTTTATTAGTTTTTTAGACATGGCTTCAGATTTTGATTGATATAATTTCCATTTTTATTTTAGTGTTATAGCAGACACCATGTCTCGTGTTTTCATATCAAATTACTTCAGTTTACTTTC